AAATGACAAACGATTGGTTAAAAACGATCCACAGTGACTCAAACTTACCTCACAGACCTTTAACAGGCACAAATAAGCAGTGAAAAATCACACCTAAAGAAAAATCTGCTCTGTTTATCAGGGCTGTGTTGACATAATAACGTTGCATCAACATAACGCTGTGAGCAGCTGAGCCCACACATCATTTTTTACAGTGGAAATGAAGCAGCAGAACGTGGGCTCTTAAACGTCGAGCCCAGTGATCGATAGAATACATATTTAGGAGAATACTGACCACGGCTCTGGATGTCAAATGATGAAAGCGTCTGAAATCGGTCAGAAACTCACACATTCACACGTTGGAGGCGTACACATCGCCGTCTGCATTCAAAGGATTTACATCTGAATGTATGAGGAGCAGCGTCAGGCTCAGACCGCCGAGGCCACGGGAGGAAATAAAACGTCTCGGGGTGTCAAACCGAGGCTGCAGGCGTTAATTAGTCTGCGGCTGATAGATTAAAACAGCAAAAAATGCTCGTTCGTTTCCTCCCAAACACTCGTTACCGGAGCTCTGTTCAACAGGCCCTCCGGGCCGGCGGCGTGTCGGGAACGTACCGGTGGCCGGGGTGGTAGATGGCCGACGTGATGCCGCCGGAGTGGTGGGCGCTGAAGCTGAAGGCGTGGTTCTCCTGGAAGTTCTGGTTGGTTCCCACGCTGGAACACAAGAGGAGAGGCACACTGAAATGAACTGTGGCAGAGGAGGAGGTGTTAATGAAGCGACAAAACTGTTTCTGAGCAAGACATAAATCTGTAAAATGTGCTGGCAGCTTATTACACGGACATGTAATTAAATATATATATCTGTTAATTAGGAGTGCGTCCGCAGTGAAATAACGAGACGTTTTCTGTATTTTAATGGTGGATTAATAGTAAAATAACAAGACAATTTCTGCTGTTAAAAGGCAAATGTTTTTTACTTTTTTTCTTTTTTTTTTTTAAAAAGGATTTTTTTTCTAATATTTACTGGAGTATGCATTTTTGTGGGGAAAAAACAGTTGTCTGCTTTTTATTTTAAGGAAAAAAAAGTGTTAATTTAATTCATTTATTTTACGGTAAATCTACAATTTAAATAAATGTGCATTTCCTATTGTTTAATCTTCAATCCATAGTAAAAAAAAGTCCTTTAAAGGTTTATCTATTGTGATAAAATGCGACATTTTCTGCTTTTCAAAAGGCGTAATAGAAGCTGTTTTATTATAAATCTCTCATTTAAAAAACAGATGTTCGTTATGTTTTAGTTGCACATCAACAGTGAAAAATAGCAGATATGCTGTATTTTATTTATATATCTATAGTGAAGAAACAGATTTTCTGCTGTTTAAATGTAAGTCTATATTTAAAATTTCTTTTTTTTTTAAAAATGAATTTTGCTGTAATTTATTGGAGCATCCATTGTGAAAAAATAAACCAACAAAAACAATTGTCTGCTTTTTTAAAGGAAAAATGTGTTCATTTAATTTATTTATTTTACGGCAAATCCACTGTTTATAATAATGTGTAGTTCCTATTATTTAATCTTGCATCCATATTAAAATAAATTAAAAAAAATAAAGTCTTTTAAAGGTGCATCTGTCGTGATAAAACAACATTTTCTGCTTTTCAAAAGGTGTAACAGCAGCTAAAAAGCAGAACGATTTCCTGTTGTTTAATTATAAGTTTAGATATTTAAACACGAGAGACATTCGCTATGGTTTCATTGCGCATCAACAGTGAAAAATCGGATATTTTCTCTATTTTATTTATGTATCTGTGGTGAAAAACAGGACATTTCTTGATTTTTAAAAAAAACATTTTGAACATTTTGCCAGTAATATAACTCCAGCAATAAATATTTTATTTTTCTGTGTTAATAATAAATCTGCAGTAATGAAAACTGATTTTTAATAACTTACACATTTAACATTTACATAAAAACAGTGAACCAAAACAAAAGAGAAATGGGCTTTTTTTAATCTCTAATTTGATAAACTCCTTTCTGAGCCTCATAAACAAACTAACATTAGCTGAAGCAGGCCTGTGAATCAACAACTGTTCTGTTAATACACAGATAATTCTCAATTAATAGGACACACGGTGAAACAACGCAGTTCAGGCGAGTGATCTAAATTAGATTTGTTCTTGTGGCGCTGCAGTGTGTTTTGTTAAACTGAACGGAGACGGGAAAGACAAGGAGGTAAAAGGAAAGATTTTTTAAAAAGAAAGGAAAATGAAGCAGCTGCAGCTTTCTGACAGCTCATACTTTTGGGTTTTTCTGCCGAGTGAACGTCGGCGAGAGGTGACTGACTGTCGACACTCGGCTATAATTCTGAAATTCCAATTTAAAGTGTTTGAGCGACAATATTGGAACGCAGTGGCACGAAGAGGAAGAATGACTGCGCGCTGAAAATGAACTTTTAAAGGGGGAAAAAAAAAAACAGGGTGAATCCAAACGTCTGCTACGTCTTAATTACCTCCTCGCGCTCACCCAACATTTATCTGCCCCCAACAGGAGAATAAATCGGCAGAGCTGAGGGGAGGCGTCTGATCGGGATTCATCGACTCGGGGAAACCTCTGAAATAACGCCAAGGAGCCGATGCAAAATTAAAGAGGAGGAGGGAAGGTGAGGGCGGCCACGAGGAAAGCACAAAATCAGATGTTGTTAATCAAATATTCAAAATGAGGAGCGGCAGGCGGAGGAGTCGGTGTCCAAAGACGCGTATCAGCAGGAATTACTCCACAAACTGGGTCCAGTAACGGCGATAATACAGAAAACGTGCATCTAAATAAGTGTTTAAGTGTTTATGATCCGGTTTAAAGGCGGCAAAGCTGATCGGTGTCAACCTCAATCTGGTCACACAGGAGTAAATCTGTGGCATGATGCCAATTCATTCATAATCTGCAGCATTATCAATCAGTAATCAATAACGTCAACAGCCCAAACTGATCACAGCTTGTCCTGAGCCGATACCGTTCTGGTCATCAGACACAATAACCTCTAATTTGTCTTTGCTGACACGGAAATGTTCAAAATGACTCAAAATTGGTCCAAAACGACAAAAAAACGTCCAAAATGAGTTGAAAAATTGCTCCAAAGCGACTCAAGGCTGCCAAATGACGTCAAAGTCTTTCAAAATAACCTAAAATTTGTCTAGAATGAACACACAAAGGTCCAAAATT